TAAAATGGGTTTTATAATGATGTAAATCAGGAGGTTGTTGTCTGTGACTCTTGGATACAAACACAAATATCTCTTCATGTTGGGAATTGGTTTTAAGCACACATGTAGTTTATCTCAACAGTGCAAGCAATTATAACCCAGGAAAATGTTTCTGTTATTTCTATATCTTGGTTCTGTAATGGCCAATGCCCTTATCAATTCTTTCCTTAGAAAATGAATAGCAAGTGAAATATGTTAATGAAGACTGTGGTTCTGCCTTACTAACAGAGAATAAAAATGTAAATTGCTGAACAGATTTAACTGGGCAAAGGGAAGTGCTGAGATTCTTCTCATTAAAAGATGAAACATTAAAACAGCTTCTCCACATTATCTGCAAAATTGGTTAGTATGAAATTCTCAAATAATACCGCTTAAGCAATAAAACATTTAAAACTCTATCAGATGCTTCTGTCTTTTAGGATTAGGAGAGCACTATATAGTGGATATCTGCTTCAGGGACACATTTTATATGGAGCAGCATACTACTGCAGCTGAACATGCTGGATAATGTATACTTAAATGAATTCCCAGATTCATCTTATTATTTATACTGTATCAGTAAAGCACCCATACCTGTATACTTCCTGTGTTCTGGGCATGAAACCAAATGTTTTGAGAAACTTGTAGGAATCTTGTCTGCTGTAATTTCCCATTAGCAAAATTATGTCAGAACTGAGATATTGTGGCCAATTGTGTGAAAAATAACTGGGTTCCAGCAACAGGTTCTTAATAAATGTTTCCGTTCTCCTCAGCTTTGCAAGTTACATCAAGGTAGAGCCTGTCCCTGTACGTGATTTCAGATGTTCCGTGTCAAGTCGAGTGAATCTGTTACTGACCAGCAGACTGTAACTACTCGAGGAAAAATAATTGCTGTGATGGTTGAAGTCACCTCATTCAATGAAGTATATTGTGTTGCTATGCTCAGAGACACAAAAAATAACACAGATAAAAAGCAAGTTTAAATTTTGGCTCTTTAGTGTTCTTAGCTGCTACAGACTAGACAATATTCAGTCCCATTCAGAAATTTCTAAAATGAATTTGGTTAATTTATTGTCTTGCTCAATATCTGACAAAGGTAGACTGAATTTGACTTGCTTATTAGGCAGAGATTAATCAGGGATGAGTCCAGTATTTGTTCGGGGGCCTTCATATATCCTCTGCCAACTAATAACTTGAGGATCTGGGAAAAGTGGTGAAAACAAAGCTCAGGAGGAGAGCACGTAATTAAGAGGGATTTACGCTTGTTCAAACAGCTGGTCCTGTGTAATGCAGTTTGAAGCAACAGTTGCACATTCTCTGCTGTTTGTATAACCTTTGTTTTGCTTTGGTAATTTCTTGTATTAATTTCTAACTTTCATAACATTATTATTAGATGTTTGTATATTGATTTTTGAACACAGGTAGTCCCTCATTGACAATGAAGTTGTATTCGTTAACACTTTAACGTAAGATTAGATTTTTATTTATTTGTTTTCATAATCTATCCTGAGTAGCATTTCTAAAGTTAAATTAATTAATTGACTTTTCCGCTGTGATGAATATTTGCACAGCTTTTTATTTTGATGAGAAGCAAGAAGGCAGCTATGCTTCCCTTTCAAAAAAGGTGCAAAACTAGAGGGGTTACTTTGTTTTTTGGAGGTGAGAAGGCAGGAAATTTCATGCTCCTTTGCAATGACTTTGAAGTTCAAGCATGACCCTTAGTGACTTGCTGTGGGCCAGACACTTTCCTTATAATTCTGCTTAGTGGCAAATTCCTTTTTTTTCAGTTCACAGCATCTTATTTATATTAAGAAAATGAGAGCAAAAGATGCAGTGTCCCCCGTCTTTTCCAGGATGTGATCCCTGCAGACTTATGTCCTTCAGGATCACCTGAACAGATCATTCAGTGACTCAAGGCTTAGGAATAAGAAAATTCAGTCCAAAACATAACTTTTAATCTTTCCTCTGTTTTGTTCTGTTAGCAAAGCAGTAGTTTTAACCATAACCTTGTGAATTTCCTCGTCTTGTCTACATTAAGATAAAACTTCTACTTTTTAACACAGCCTTTTCGTTTTTTTGCTGTGTAAGATGGCTATTCCCTCTCCGTCCTTTTCCTCAGGCTTGGAAAGAAGAGAGGATACAGAGGAAAACCTCCATCCTTATTCTTAAGGCCTTCACACTCCTTTGCTGCACTGGAAGATAGTCTGGTTTTGTTCCTTATGGAGACTTTTTGTGTATGAAACTGCACTCTTGTGTTGTCAGAGAGCTGCATTTTGATTGATGTGTATGTGAAATGTGTAGGAATTGTAAAAGAAATCACAACAACAACAAAAAATCTCATTCCAATATGCTACTTGAATACATTTTTTACTTTCTTTTAGCAAGAAGGTGTACTTGATGATGCCTTCAACACAGGAATATTTTTCAAAATATTCCCGGTATAGTTGAGAAAGCAGCAGGCTCTGCTTTCATCAGACCAAAGTTTTGACCTAGAGATCTGGATCTCAGTTTTCACCTTTTCCAAAATGAAGTGGTAAATAATGTTGCTGTAGGAGTGAAATCATTCTTAAAGTTTGTTTGTAACTGATGCACATCAGACTGTGTGTGAACTATGGGAACAACTGAAAGATGCTGCAGAAGCCTGAGCTGCATTGAGGAGGGAAATAAAAGGGCAGAAAGAAGGTGGAGAGCTAGCGAAGTAGTTAAAGTAGGATAAAGCTAGTCCATTTTTAAATGTTAGCATACTTGTCATCTGCATGGTAGTACCAACATGTTTTCCATTTGTTGTTTTTCCATTAACCCTCCATTCCCACATCTTTAATGCTGCATTTTAAGCTGCATTCAGCCTTATTAGTATACCAACTTGTATATAATCCAAAAGTGGATTTAATAGATTTAAAAAATATATTAATAACAAGCACTTTGTAAAGTTTACTTTATTGTTTTTTGGGGGAATTGGCTGATTTATAGAATGTCATTGTAAAAAGAAATGTTGCAGAACTAAATACAATGTTTAAGAATAGAGAGTTAATCCTTCTCATTATACTAGTGATGATTCTGATCATATTAATACCTGTTTTGTTATGAGCAAGTGTAAGCTGTCTAAAACACTACTTTATAACATTATATTAATCTCCTGAAAAGAATGTAAATCTAAGTCTGTAGAGATGTGTTATCAAGCAGAATTATGGGAATTCGGTTTGTGTTGAGTATCTCTTGGATAAGGATATCTCCTGAATATGAGGATCTTTCTTGAATAAGATTTACTGTCTGCTACTAATGACTCAATTTTTGTGACAGCTCTTCTCATCTTTTAATATTTTCTGTGCTCTTTCTTCCCTTTCTTGCTGTTAAAATTTGGAGAGAACTGAACATTCAATCTGTATTTTGAAGCAACATGCAGTTTGTGTAAATATGCTAAAATGTACTCAGTGGACCATCCAGAATGCTATCTATTTAGTCTAAATATTTAAAGAGCTAGTTGTCTGAAAAGGGGTTTAGGAACAGAGAAAGCCGTGTGAGGGATTCTGTTGTCTAGTTAGCAAATAATTTGCTAGACTGCTAAGCATTTTTGATTCTTAAGGATTTGGATGTCTGCTATCTTTTACTCTTTCATGTTCTTTCTACTCTTTTCACTCTCATGATTTAAATATTGAAACTAATCATATTTTTTTTATGAGCAAGTACAGATGAAATTTAGGGGTAGCCCAAGTCAGTAGCTTGGAGTCAGTAGCTATGTGACATCTGTACTACAGAGAATGTCTAACTTGGTATATTAAGTGTTTTAAATGGTCAGATGTCAGAAACATTTCTTTACTATCTGGACTGTTTTAATATGTGGTGCTTTCAGAGGTACCCTGGAGACTGTTTTCAACAATGAATATTTTAAAGTCAACAAATTATGGAGGCAACTCACTAACTGCATCAGCAGTCTTTGTCTTCCAACCTTCTTTGAAAAATTTGCCCTTGATGCATCAGAGTCACTTTGAATTGATGAGAATATGATCTTTAATCTTTTAAAGTAGCCAGAGAGCTAAGGAAAGCCTTTTCCCTGTTTGATGTCTTAGAACTAGTCTTGGGCTAAAAAAAAAGTTAACATTTACCACTGTGTATCTTCAGCTGAATTATAAGATGAAACTGGAGCTTTTCCTGGAACTTTTCTAAGTCTGGGGGAAAAATTCATCATTTCAATGTGTTAATGACAGAGGAAGATGTTTTGTTGTTGGAAGAAATTATTTTTAAACCGTAAGAACTTTGGTATGTAAGGTAGACCATGAAATGAGTTGTATTTATGAAAGCCCTCCTGGTGTGTTAGGCAAAGTTTTAAATAAAAGCTAAGTTGGCTCTCTAATAGCAACCTTCCTTCAACAGAGAGACCTTTTACCTTGCTCCTTTTACTGTGCGTGTTGCAGCCAGCAATTATGTTTAATAGAATCCATCATCAGCTGAAACCACAATAAAAAACTGCAGATTTTGACAGAATCTTGATGTTTCAAACTGAGGTGGACAGCGTTCCAGAGAGAGTGTTGTCCGGTGACTGCCACTTGGAGTGGGATTTTGTTTGTTTGTTTGTTTGTTTGGAGAGTTAGATTCTACAGTACTTGTCAAAAAAGTTCTTTGTGGAGTAAATGAATTTAAACTAATTTAAAATTCACTTCTAGGACTGTCTTTCCCTGCTGAAAAGATTAAAGGCTGTAAATTTGGGTAAAACTGGTGAGTTTTCATAAGTGAGTAAAAGTAATACTTATTAGAAAAGGGGTAGGTCTGTCCATTCTTTAAAATGCAAAAAGAAGCATATACAGGGAATGAAATTTAGGGAAATTTTCCTGTTTTAATTGCATGTCATTGAAAATGAGAGGTAATAAATTGAGTTCCAAAAATTCAGGCTGTGTTCCTGAATTGCTTTACAGTAGTTGTGTCCTTCACCCCAGTAGTTTGCTGATTTGTTGAAATCCTTTTAAGTTCTCCTGTTTTTCTTTCAGGTAGAGGTAACAGATATTGAAAGTGAAGAGAAAAGGTATGAACTTTTCTTGGAACTTCTGGAATCCAGTCATAGTCTGTCTGAGTTTCAGCACTTGGTTTTACTTCTTCAAGCTTGGCCACCTATGGAAATGAGCAACAGGTAAAAATATTTTCAAATTGTCATTTAACAAAATAATGTTAAGTTTTGTTAAGTAAAAAATTGTTCATGAAGCTTCCAGTCAATTAATTCACATAAGTGCAAGAGGAGTATGGCCTTTTCAAAAGGGCCATACTGGGCCTTTTACTGGGAAAAATAAGTTGTCTCTTTAGAGCAGAGCTTCTTCTAAAAGTTATATATACATATGTAGCATGGAGGCAGAGAATCCTTTTACTGGCTGAACTATTGAATATGAGTTTTTGGTTTGGGTTTTTTGTTTTGTTTTGGTTTTTTTGCATTTACTTTTACTTTGGCAGTATGTAGAAAACCTCTGAATAGGAATGAAAAATTCAGTCTATGGCTGCTTTTTCTATTCTGAATTATGTTTTACAGAAATAAATTGCCTAGTCTTCAAAGAGTCATCTCAATTTGTAAGAAGTCTACACAATGCTACCAAGCCATGGTGCATCTCATTTCTAAATCCACTGCTTATTCTTCTCATGTCTGAATAAAATATAAAAATAAAATATAAAAAGCAAAGAACACTAGAGCAAATACGCCCAGGAGATCTTAACCCAGCAATTGAAAGTGAATATAATTATTTTAAAAGTTAGTATTGCAGACATTCTGAAGCTGTTTATCACAAGGTGTTAATACAGAGCACCTAGACTACACTGTTTTTGTACTAAACCTTTGTCTTTTCTCTGCCGCTTTCTGAACATATTAATGGTGACATTTTTAGCTGTTTTATTCTGCAGCTGATGGTTTTGTCTGAGATTTAAACATGCAATCTTATGTTTACAATATAGAGACAGGAATGCTGCAACAAGAGCAATAATACTGATATATCTTTTGGCTGGCCGATACAACTTACCGTCTTTGATCTGACAGTAGTTAGATTAGAGACACTGAATGTTACTTCCTTTGGATTCCTCAGGCTATTGACTACAACCCGTTTGAACCTGGAGACTGCATGCCCCAAAGTGCTTAGATGCATTGATTTGTGAGAAAAATTATAGAATATATTTTTTATTAAAAGTAACTATTTTTTCTACTTGTACAGAACTGATGCATTAGAAAGTAATCTGTTCACCTTTAAGCCTGCAGTTCATTTGCAATTTATTGGTGAGGATTAAGCTAAATTCTTTATGACAGGTTTATGAGCCAGAAATTGTCCTCATTGCATTAAAAATTAAGGTCTGCTGCGTGATCTGTCAGAAATTAATATTCCAGCTTTACTGTTTAGTTTTGGCTTAATTGTGTAATTCAGCACTTGATGCATCGCTGTCAAAATTTTGTTTGTGTTGGTGTGTTTTGATTTCAACTAGTCCAAAGGAAAGAAAGGATGCAGTGCTCATTACCAAGACCCATCCTAACTTTAGATCCAGCCTATGCACATCCTGCTTATTAAAGTGTACTTCTTTGTCCACAGGAATAATACATGGTGTGAAGAAATCTTTTCAAACCAATTTTGGCTGTGCTTTCATCAAAATGAATTTGACTCAAAACATACATTACCTGTTCATAATGCTCCAAAATTAAATTCTGTCCTCATTCCACCCTCAGTCCCACCCCTCTTGTATGATTAATTCCAAAAACAGTCAGGTACAGCTGTCTTTTGTATACCTCAATATGAGACAGGATTAATTCCTAAGCTCTTGCCAAGTAGATTGTTACATTTTTTGAACTGCCTCTTATCACGGTCTGATGGAAATACTTCATATTTCTTTCTCATTATTTTAAATTAATTTATTTTGAATTATGTTGCTTCATAGATCTTGGAATTACTCATGTTAGGCAGGAAGCAGAGGCTGTGCTGTAAGTCTGAGGCCCAACAAACAAAGATCATGAAAATCTTTCTTTCAACCTTCTTTATCCAAGTCTTCTCTCATCTCCCTTCCAGTTGCCCTTGACAATTGTTTTCATATGCCCATTTCTGCATCTTTGGCATGACTGCAAGCATCATTTCTGTGATCTGATTTCTTCTCTTATTCTGCAATTACTGGTGCCTCACTTTTTTGTTGTTTTTTTGTTGTTGTTGTTGTTTTTTCGTTTGTTAAAACATGCTTTCATGCCAATAGCATTTAATCACAATTAGCCTAGTTTTTCTTTTGTATTCTAGAAATCCCATTTCTGAAAAGCCTACCTAGATTGTTCAGTTGGAGTAGAGCAGGAACTTTTTTGTTAGCAAGTTCTTTCAATAATCTAATTTCTTAAAGCAAGTAGCATTAAATTATGGAGCAAAGAGGAGAACTGAGCAGTTAAGCCTGCTGTTTAGCCATATGCATTAGGATTTTGTTAAATCTTTACCTACTCATGCATTCCCTGGTTCAAAAAAAGAGCATTGCTGCTAACTAATTGATTACTGTAAGTGTAATATATATGCAATATATGTATGAATTGAGAAATTTAAGTCTGTGTCAGCTGAAAACTTAAAATCCTAGATTTCAACATAATAGTAAATTTTAACACTTAGAATTGTATGTAAAGATAGAAATGCTGTGGTAGTGTTCGCTTGTATCTAATGTCTGTCTTCTGTCAGAGGCTGACTACAGTAATGATCTTGCATGACATGGAAGGCAAATCATGAAATGGTTGAGGTCAGAAGGGACCACTGAAGATCATCTAGCCCAACTCCCCTGCTCAAGCAGGGACACCTAGAGCACATTGCACAGGATCATGTGCAGGCATTTTTCGAATATTTCCAGAGGAGATGCCACATCTCTGGGCAGCCTGTTCCAGTGCTCTGGCACCCTAACAGTCAATGAGTTTTTCCTCATATTTGGTCAGAACTTCCTGTTTTTCAGTATGCGGTCATTACATTTTGTCCTGTCGCTGGATATGACTGAAAATAGTCTGTCCCCATCCTCTTGACATCCTCCCCTAAGTTTTTTTTTTACATACTGGTAAGATCCACTCTCAGGACCAGATCTCTCATAGGACAGTCCCCTCCAGTCCCCTAATCATCTTCGTAGCCTATGCTGGACTCTCTGCAGTAGCTCTACGTCTCTGTGGTGCTGGGGAGCCCAGAACTGGGTACAAGACTCCAGATGTGGCCTCACCAGGGCCGAGGGGAGGGGGAAGATCCCTTCCTTCAACCTGCTGGCAATGCTCTTTCTAGCGGTGGCCCAGGATCCTATTGGCCTTGTTGACCACAAGAGCATGTTGGTGGCTCATGGTTGACCTGCTGCCCACCAGGAACCCCAGGTCCTTCTCTGCAGAACTGCTTTCCAGGATGAACTATAATCTGGGCTTTTATGAACAAAAAGAATGCTTGTTTATTTCCATCTTTGTTTGTACTTTTTGGTCCTGAAAATGAAAATTTAAATCTTGATTTTTTTATTTATTTTTTTCCCCCACTGGGAAATGAGGCAGCTATTTGAGAGACAGATGCCCTTAGAATGTGATTGAAACAAAATTAGAAATTCTGGTTTTCTATCACCCATCCTCAACACCATTCTGTCTGGGATCTCTGGTGGAAAGCCAGTAGAAACTATTCCTGTGCTGTTCCACGTTCATCAGCCTTTTATCTAGCATAAATCCTCCAGGATCATAATAACATATCATAATGAACAATTTTTTCAGCCTCTCTCCTGCAGTGAAATAATGATAGCATCAGGATGGTCACCTGTCTCACGGACTTTTCTCACTGTGTCACAAGATTGTACTGCAATTCATCTGAAAGAAAGAAAAACAAAACTTCTTTTTTTTTCCTCAGATCATGCACAGGTAACAATCCTTGGGTGAAAATGGGGGCTGTTATGCTACAGAAATGCCCACCTGAAGAAAAAGAACAGACAGGAAATGAAATTTTGAAAATCTGTCGTTCCTTATATGAGACAAAGCACATGCTCCCTGTTGAGGTAAGTTTTGATTTAAGTTGTCATGGGTTTGAGGCCTATTTTGGGTCCAAAGATACTGACATACTGAATCCAAACCAATAAAGGCTGAGAGAATTGGGCTTGAGAAGAAATGGTTGAGGGGGATCTTACTGCTCTCTTCCAATACTTAATGTGAAAAGTGTGGAGTAGAGACAGCCTCTTCATAGAGGTTCTTAGTGATAGAATGACAGGTGATAGAGACAAATTATAACCTGAAAAATGCTGATTTTCATATAAGCAAAGTTTTGCACTGTGAAAATGGTGAAACACTGGAACACCTTGTCCATCTCCATCCTTGGGAGATATTCCAAACAAGCGGATGAGGCCATGGGCAACTTGATATTGTTGGACGTGATTTGAGTGGAGGGTATTTTAGTCGGGTATTTTCTATAGGTCTATTCCAGCCTAAACTTTTCTTTAAAGAAATTTTCTAATAATGCATTACTGGTTGCAGTCAATATGGCAGAATAATCAATAATTTTTTCCACTAATATATGTATAAAACTTACTAAGTACCCTTAAAAAACTTGTTTGTGATTAAATTTATATGCAAACATTGCTTCTTGGAAAGAAGTGTGGTATTCTGTCTTCATTAACCATGTATGCTTACTTGCATCCAAGCACCTCTTAAGTAGAAGATTAATGAAGTGTGTTATACATAAACATTGTATCCTTGTGAGGACAGATTTGCGAAATGCTTAAAAAATTTCTTTAGAGTTGTCCTGTGCATATTTCTTACTGTGCTGATTCCTTATCATTTTCATACAATTATAGAAAATAGTTACTATTAAGAATTGAATCAGAATAGAAGCAGCACATTCCATTTAAAATGTAGACAGATGAGGGGGGATTCTTGTTTGTTATTTTTCTTCTTTTTAGGTTTTCTTCTTCTGAATTTGCTCAAGTTAAAAATCTGTGTAAAACATAATTCCAGAAGGTGTCAGTAAACTCGCTGATAAATTCAGTTATTGGTGGAAGGCAAGTTTCTGTATCCTTGGGTTTGTCATAACTGAATGCAGTCTTTCTTTACCAGCCATTCACTTATTCATCATAGCTCCTCACGTCCTCTAGGTTTTACCAGTGGATAGAAGTAGCCAAACTCTGACAAGAAGTTGGGTTTTCAAATTCACCAAACTTGAGTTAGGAAAACAAATCTCATTTATGGTCATATTTTTAAAGCAGTCTGTTTTCCAGTACCATGAGAATGAGATGTGCTCTCTTTTTTTTTTTTTTTTTTCTTCCCCCCTTGAATTGCACAAGTAAATCAAGGAATTAATTATTCATAACAACAAGTAATTCCAAATACTACAATTTTGCTGTTAGTTGGCTGTTACATTTGGAGGTGCCATCTTTTTTAAGGATACAATGTGCTGGAATGCCACTTCATGTGGGTGTGAATATACAGGTACGGTACAGAGAAGCATTACTACTGAAATGTACTCTAGTCCTCAATAGCTTGACCGATATAAAATTCCTTTTTCTTCTTTTATGACTAGAATGCTGTGTGATAACAGGAACTGCGTAGAATATTTAATTGTGCTGCTAAAGCAATTCAGCCTGCATATCTGCTGTGCGTGTGTGGGAATGATGTTCATGAATTTAACTAGCTGATTTGTATGCACCCCTTCAATATTTAAGTGCACAAATTAGAGAGTCGAGATTACGTGGCTCGGTTAGATGAAAATCTGATTACTGACAATTACCGCATTTAGATGACTTCACATTTCAATAAATACACTGATTGAGAGGAGATCAACTTATGACATTGAATAACATTTGCCGTTCTGAAGTCCAAAGCCTGTAATGGAAAAAAAAAAAACATTTAACTTAAAGGCATGATCATCCAAAAGGTAGAAGAACTGTTGTAGATCTATATGGTTTCAGAAAAGTTTCTTCCTTTGTTCTATTAATGCTGGACTTCCTAGTTTTTTTGTTTGTTTTTACAGCCAAGCTCCTTCCTAGGAGTTGCTTGGCTTTAGTACCTGGTCTGTTTTTTCTTGATAATTTTTTTGTTTTGTTTGTCTATTTTCGTTGGGCGGGGAGGCAGGGGCAGGGCGGGGAGGGCCAGATATTCTTCAGAATACAGATTTTTTTCTGTTTCTCTTGGACAAAATAAGCATTATTTTACTTCCTTGGAATGCACATGTTTGGACTACCTGACATCTGCTGCATTGCCCGATTAAGGCAAAGCCTTGTCCCTTCAGTAAGTGTTCAAGTGCAAGTCCTCTGAATATCTGTATCAACTGATGGCCTTAGTCACCATAAACTTAAATGAGCAAATGGTCCTAGTGGCCTTAAGATGATTGTCTCCTAGAACACAATAGCAGACAAGCAGTCTCCTTTCTTTTTCTATTTTCATAGCTTGTTATTCTTGATTTTTATGTTTGTTTACATTATTTTTATACAATTTGTATACAATTTATAAGTTTTTATGTTTTTCTTCATTTACTGTGTAATCAACTTCTCTTGTTCAGATAATTTTGGTCATAAATACGGTCCCTTCAGCCTCTCCTAGCATGATCGTGTTGTGTATAAACGCACAAGTGTACTCAGTGTATAGCCATCTATGAAAACACTGAATAGTGCTAGACCAAGAGGAGACTGAGGTGAAATCCGCTTGGTCTTCCAGCACTATTGCTCTAATGAGAAAGACTTAGATAAAAAAGTTACATGATAAAAGGCAAAGAAGTACTTGGACAAGAAGTAAAATATGAGGAATGTAAGGAAAAAGCTACTTTATCATGAGGGTGGCAGAGCATTGGAACAGGTTGCCCAGAGAGTCTGGAGAATCTCCTTCTCTGGAGATACTAAAACCTGCCCAGATGCGACCCGGTGCCACGTGCTCTAGGTGACCCTGCCTGAGCAGAGGGTTGGACCCAGTGATCTCCAGAGGTCCCTGCCAACCTCAAACACTCTGTGATGCTGTGAAAGGTGTTTATTGGAAGGTGTGCCTCCCCTTCAAAGGAAACGATGGATTCTGTGGGTCTAAAGTGTTTTTATAGCAAGACTGGGTAGCTCTTTGCTGGCTTATATAATGTAAACAAGTTACTGAAGTTATCTGGCTGGTAACTACCTGAAACACTTTGGCTCCAAGATCCGCTAGTTTCAGCTAAGCATTAGTCAGTTAGGTAGTTAATCTTGTGTTTTCTTAAGCTGAAGCATTTGTACCTTCCTGAATGAAGTGGATTGTGCTAAAACACAGCTAGTCAAAATGTCTAATCAGTCCTGGAATACAATTTTTGAGCATCTTAATTATAATAATGATAACTATGATAATGACAATAATAGTAATAATAATGCTGGCATCTCCTTTGAGCTAAATTTTATTTCTTTGACATAGCAAAGTTGATACCTGTGTTGCAACATTTGCTTGCTGAGTGTTGAATTTCCTTTATTTTAAGACAGTTCAATGAGGCAGCAAACTCGAATTAAACATCTGCATGTTTTGTCATCCTGCCCTGTTACTTTAAAAAGGCTGATAGCATTACAGTTTGCTTACTTTCATTTTTCTTCCTCCCACAACCTTGCTATGATATTGGACTCTTTTTGAGAGCCTTTTTATGGTTATGGGTTATTTCGAACAGCACTGCTTCTCCACTTAAGGTTTTAATAAGCTTTCAGACGGAGAAAGCTACCAAGTGCTGTAAAATTGCTGTTTTCTTTAGGTTATGTGTCTTATGACCATCAGAATTTATTTTTCTGAACAGATGCTGTATTTATTACCATGGATATGCCTTAAAAATGAATAAAAATAAGGTAGGCTTATAGAATCCTGCATCTCTACCTTTGCATTCCTTGAGTTTCTCTGTGCAGCATACTGCTCAAGAAAAATACCATGGAATATCCAATTGTCAAAGGGAGTGTGCAACTCGCCAGACAAAGCTTAACATTTTTATTTAATCTTCTTATTCCTTGGTCCTATCTATTGTCCTTTACTGAAAGCATCAACAGTAGCTACTGAAAGCAGTACAGGGTACAAGTTTACAGCAATAACTCTGGGAGCAGCTTCAGCAGCTCAGTGAGACAGAGTTCAGTATAATATAATTTATCCTGCTGTTTCTTGAGAGTATAGATCTGGAAAAGACTGGGAAAATACAACTAGGTAGCTTCCTGTACCAAGCAAAGTCAGGTCTTTGTGCAGCCTAAGTCTATCATACAGTCTAAGCACTTAACATTTTTATTTTCAAATAATTTTTATGTTTTTAGGATCATAGTAATTATAATTCGCTACTAAGCAGTGTAGTTGTGTTTTGGTCATCAGGTCATTATACTTTTCATAGAACATCAAACAGTTTTTAAAAATCACAGGATGGTTGAGGTTGGAAGGGACCTCTAGAGACCATCTAGTCCAACCCCCCTGCTCCAGCAGGGACACCTGGAGCATGTGGCACAGGGTGGCATCCAGGCGGGTTTGAAGATCTCCAGAGAAGGAGACTCCACAACCTCTCTGGGCAGCCTGTTCTGACCCTCACAGGAAGGAAGTTCTTCCTAACATGGAGGAACTTCCTGTGTTTTGACTTGCACCTGTTACCCCTCGTCCTGTCCCTGGCCACCACGGAGAAGAGCCTGGCCCCATCCTCCCTACGATCACCCCTCAGGTGAACATGTTGATCAGATCTCCTCTCAGTCTTCTCTGGGCTAAACAGGCCCAGCTCACTTAGTCTTTCCTCATAAGATAGATGCTCCAGTCCCTTAGTCATCTTTGTGGCTCTATTCTGGACCCTCTTGTGTTCTCCCGTCGTGGTAATCAGTTGATGAATTCCCTGGACAAGTGCAGTCTCTCTGAAGACAGCCCTTTAGAGTGACCCCCAAAATTTGAATACCATTTTCCAGGTGTCAGCGTTACACAGCTCTCAGTGAGAAGTGATTGTGGCAAGCGAACAGTGTTCTTGTGAGTGGGGGGAAAAAGAGTTATAATATGTTAATCTAAATAATTTTAGTTTTATAGAAGAATAATTCATTGCAATGCTAAGGAAAAGCAACATGCAGGTTAAATGCAGGGGATTATTTTACTGAAGGCCAAGGTAAAGATTTGGAAACGTTTTTTTAAAAAAAAAAACCTTTATTTGCCATTTTCTTTTTGCATCAGATTTATGATGCTAAATAATTTGTGCTATATTATAAAGTATAAAACGTTGCATGAATGCAGGAAAGGTAATTTGCTAAGATTTAATCTTGTATGAAATATTTGAAAAACTTTTGAACAGAGGTTTATGATGTTGAACTCTCTGGTATGAGGCAATACTCTTACTCTTTTTTTTAATTTTAATTCCACTTTTATGGTTGCATGATTGAGTTACTAAAATATCACAGGTGTCTGTTAAATTTCTTCCTGCGCTTGCAGTATATCAATGAGCACAACTATTTTAGTCCCACACAGTGTTGAGATTGCTCTGTTGTTCTTTTGATAAAACTCTGGGGCTATAATAGTGATTCAGTACCTGCCTTGTCTCTAATATAACAAGCATTTCACTTATAACCCTATATTCCAGTCTTGAAAGCTTGTATTTTCAAGTTCCCAGGGAGAGTTATATCCATCGGGGAGTTCATTTGTTTTAGATGTTTGGCTTTCATTTTGCATTTCACACGTAATTTTCATAAATTTCCGTATGAGTAATGATGTTAGCATCTCCTGAGATCACACTGAATGAGTTTACTTTTACTTGCAGTGTATAAAAGAATTATGTTTGCTGCTGCTTAACCAGTCCCTTCTGCTGCCGTCCCTGAAACTGCTGGTAGAAAGCAAAGATGAAGATCTTCATGCTGTGGCACTGGAGCAGATAAAGGCTGTGGCTAAGGTATGAGCAGTTGAATTAACCATCTTTCAGAATTTGAGGTAATAAATTCACTTTTTATCATCATGCAGTAAGCAGGCACTGTTGGGCCTGTTATCATTATTAAGATTTTCCACAGCTGTTGTGTCCTCAGTGAGCAGTAATGCAGGCCAGTAAGATCTTTTATGTACTTGAGGTGATTAAAGCTCCTAGTATTTTCTTTAAATTATCCAGTACTCTGTTGAAGGTCGATGTACTGGAACAGAAATTATTGTGTTATATTAAGTAGATCGTTATCTCTGTGTTCATATGCTAGAGCCTTGTAGGGTTTTGTGTGGCTTTTTTTGTTTGCTTTTTGCTTTGTGGGTGATAATACTATATCAAATGAGATAACTTGTTTTTGATAGACTTGGCACTTTATTCATATACATGTGATGAGATGTATCATTGTTTTCATTGCAAAATGGTCAAAATGTAAGATAGTATGTTTGGGCACTTTTATCCTTTTCCAAACAGGTTTTATTGGATACTGTTGCAAAGTTCAAAGGAGAAAAAAGTAAATACTCTGTTTTATTTTCTTTGGAAAGAAAGTAAAATACATTGCTGTATACTTTTCAACAGTTAAAAAGTTATACTACTCATTATTTACCAGTATATTTACTTTTCATTGAAGTAATAACACCTAAAATGATGAAATGTAGTCTGCTAGGAAAAGCATTCTTCATATTATCTTTTAGTGTTTTTTTTTCCTTTTTTTTTGTTTTGTTTCTTTTTGAGAACTGAGGTGGATTTAGAAATTCTTCAAGCCCTTAATGTAAGTAGTGCAAAAACCTCCTGAAAGAATTTGTTAGCTCTGATCTATGGTCTAGAAATCATAGAATCATAGAATGCTTAGGGTTGGAAGGGACCTCTAGAGATCATCTAGTCCAACCCCCCTGCCCATGCAGGGTCACCTAGAGCACGTGGCACAGGGTGGCATCTAGACAGGTTTGGAAGATCTCCAAAGAAGGAGACTCCACAACCTCTCTGGGCAGCCTGTTCCAGTGCTCTGCACCCTCACTGGTAAGAAATTTTTCCTTAAGTTCCTATGGAATTTTTGGTGCTTCAGTTTCCGGCCATTTCCTCTAGTCCTGTCAGTGGCCACCACTGAAAAGAGACCAAAAAAAAAGGGGCCCAGAACTGGACACAATACTCCAGATGTGGCCTCACCAGGGCTGAGTAGAGGGGCAGGATCACCTCCCTCGACCTGCTGGAGATGCTCTTCTTAATGCAGCCCAGGATCCCATTGGCCCTCTTGGCCACGAGGGCACACTGCTGCCTCATGGTCAACTTGTCGTCCACCATGACACCCAGGTCTTTCTCTGCAGAGCTGCTCTCCAGAAGGTCGGTCCCCAGCCTGTACTGGTGTCTGGGGTTATTCCTCCCCAGGTGCAGGACCTTGCACTTGGCCTTGCTGAATTGCATGAGGTTTTTCACCGCCCAGTTGTCCAGTCTGTCCAGGTCCCTCTGGATGGCAGTGCAGCCCTCTGGGGTATCAGCTACTCCTCCCAGTTTGGTATCATCAGCAAACTTGCTGAGGGAGCACTCTGTGCCTTCATCCAGGTCATTGATGAATAAATTGAACAGAACTGGACCAAGGACTGACCCTTGGGGGACCCCGCTAGCTACAGGCCTCCAACTAGACTCTGCACCGCTGATCACCACCCTCTGAGCTCTGCCGTCCAGCCAGTTCCGAATCCACCTCACTGTCCATCTGTCCAGATCTGTAAAAATCTACCACAGAATCTACTACAGAAATCTACCACAAAAAAAAAGAAGGGGGAAGTTGTTTTCACAGACCATGTGGAGGAGAATGGCTTTCCTTTCTGGTTGGATAACTCCTCTGAAGGTTTCCAATGTTCAATATTTAATTGTGCCCACTGGAAAACTTAATCTATATTAACTCCACATTCTGCACTGTGTCTTTGAGGGTTCTTGATTGCAGATGACAATATAGAGCAGTAATTGAAGGTGTATTTCCAGTAGGCTACGTCAGAAGTCAAATCTACTTTGAGGTGGAAAATACTATAAGAGGACGTTGGGTGTCTGAAATGTTTTTAACATAAATATTCCCAAACAAAATACAAAATCTTTTAAGATGTGGTTTGTTGGAATACAGTTTAAAATAGTGCCCTTTTCTGAAAGGTCCATCCAAGTCAGCCTCCCATTGTTCATTCCAACAGGTTTTTCAAATTCCTGAGTTGCAAGAAATGTGATGCAATCCCATTCCCTGGTGATCTTCTCTTCTCTGAGAGAGATTCTTGTCATCCTTCCTGGCATTCTCCCGAAGAGCCTGTCCTACTCCCTTGTTTCCTCCTCATTTGCGCCACCTTTTTTGCTCTGCTGCACCGTGTATTCCAGGAGCTTTCACCCTCTGTGCATGCTTAGCTACAGAAGGGAGGTTTTTATCTCCTTCTCTTTCTTCAGGAAAGCAACAGAACATGGAGCACTAAAGTAAAGTCACAGAAGCAAGAAATGTGAGAAAAAATGGATTCTACTTCATATGTTGCTAATTTTCCTTCAAAACCACCTAGTGCTTCCCGTGGCAGATGAACCACAATCTGCTTTAAATTGTTTTTGGTGGATGTTTAAAATCTTGCAGAAGGTGGTATTTTGTGTGTTATACATCTGCTTGCATCAAAATTCCGATACCAAAGTTAACAGCTGGTAGGAATTTGGAGTATTTCCGTGCCGAGTTTGTTTTAAGCAAAGAATCAGATGTTTTATGAAGATATATCTGTTCCATTGTTTTTCAATACAAATAGAATGCAAATTCTCTGAATTTTCTCAAAAAAAAAACCTACAAATATTAACCATAAAAACAGTAGATTTTATTCATTGTATTGGTACATTTCCTATAACACCCACAATAACAGATTTTGCACTTGCAAAGTAAATAATTCAAAACTGTTTATTTAGTGACTAGCTCCTAAGCTGGCTATCGGGAATTTATGTCTGAATGTATTTTATTTAACTATATTTAAGTACAGTGCCATACAATAGTGTTCTCTGAATGGCTGCTAATTGTGCTGCTCTCTTGACTGACCTTCTCTCTTCATTCTGCAAAAAAAAAATTGCATTATAATAACACTTTTAGGTCTAGGAAATATCTTCTTACTAATATAAAGCTCTTAGTATACCTATGTATGCTGAGAATAATTTTATTTTTGCCCTTCTAATGCAGGAAGCACCTTGATAAGCTACTTTGTGTATTTTTTTCTAAATTAAATGTTAATTTGTGCATACAATTCTGTAGCCCTGTGCATAACCTGGAATTTGCACAGCATTTGGCCTTGCTCTAATCTTTCTTCTTAACTCACTGAAAATTTAAATTTTGACTCGGTTACTTCAGGCACGGAGCTTACCCAGTATGTGAGATTCGCTCCCAGTCTTAGAAAAGCAACTGGCACAGAAGAGTGCCATGATAAATGAAAAGCTTTTCTTGTGCCGTTTGGAAAACGGGTCTTCTCCTTGTTCTGTATGTGTCGCTTTATGTTTATGTTAGTTGATATTTTACTAAAAGTGGTGCTTAGCTGCGTCAGTGTTTTTTATTAGGTATAATTTTGCGTGCACCTTCTGCTTACCAAAAACATAGCAGTAGGACTGGTACCACTTTTTTCTTTTTGTAGATTTTTCCCATAGGAAGCCCATTCCTGTTTACATTAACCAGGAGAAGGACAAATAACATCTGGCAAAGTGAAATCATAGCTATTGATTCCCTGACATAGCGCGAGCACAGCTCGGGAACGTGGCTGAGGAAGAAATACAGCGCGTGCTGATACGATGTGTTCGCTGGCCGTTCGTTGTACGGTGCTGACAGCTTTATGGGTGTTTACAGTTAGAAGGATCATGTTGAAGTGCTGATACTAGGAATCGTATAGCTTTTGCCTATAATAAAACAGACAGAATTTTGTGTAAGCTTTTTTGAAATTGCAGACCTTTCTTTTTATCACGTATCCTTTTGGAAACCACAAATTGCCATTTTTGGATAACAAATAAAAATACCTCGTCCGTTTTGATAGTATGTGGTAGGTGTTTAGTTAACAATAGATCATTTTAATTTATTTAAAGTTGCTTATTACTGCCAATGGACTGTCTTTTAAGAGACATTGTTCTAGGGAAGGGTTTTAGTATTGTCTGTTTGCTTGACATTGGAAACATCAGGAAAGATTTCTTGTGCTTCTTTAGAACAAATAAATAACCCGTTACCTCTTGGTAAGCATATTGTTAAGAGAGTTTGCTTACAAATGGCAGTCAGAGCAGATTCAAGCCTTCAGTCAAGGCATTAATATATAGCAGAACTAGAGAATATTTTTAATTATTCTAAAATATTAATTTTTCCCAGTTTATACTTTCAATGTTGAAGTAATGAGACTATCTGTATAAAGTCACTGCTGAAGAATCTGAAAAATTGTGAAAAATGCATGAAAATAATGGAATTTCCAGTTTTATCTAGGCAGTTTGTTCTGCTGCTTATGACAGTTTGTGTGTCTTCTCTTTTTTTTTTTTAAAAAAAAAAAAGAAGTCTTGTAAAACGTATGTGCTTATAACCTGACAGTGATTAAGGATCTTTTCCACAGTTGGTAGGATCAAACTCTCCCTTTTTCTGTCCTCTTACTTTATTTGTCTTTTAGCTGTACAGACTCCATTCAGGAATAAATGAAAATCATTTTTACCTCTGCTAGTGGTGCAGAACTAATAGTCTGGGAAAGTGCGAGCTCAGTTCTTTCCTGCTGTTGCCATCAGCAGCTCTTATCTTTCCATTAGTATCCATATTTCATAATGCACAGATTTCATAAAGCGTAAGTTATGGAGTCATAGAGCAGGAAGAAATCCTATCTTTAGATAATGCCAGAACGGCTAGACATGTGGGCAAAAACTGCTGATGGGGAATTACCCAGGCCCCGTCCTGTCCCTTACTCTGTAAGGGCAAAGGAACCTTCTAACCTGCCTTTGCTTGTCCAAAATTCCCCCAGTAGGAGAGA